GAAATGAGGCTCTTCAAGTCCCGGCTCGCTTGGTCCCTGTGGTCACCTAGTGTCAACTCTCAGGTGCCAGGGAGATTTCAGGCACTCCGTAGAAAGCGAGGTGGCTGGAGGAGGCCCCAGGAGCTCCTATCCATTCTATTCTGGTCTAATCTCACTACCCGTGTTTTTCTTTATGACTCATTCTGTTTGTTCATTTCCTGTTTTGAGAACAAACCCAAGTGCATCTCATATATCTGCTTAATGGCCCTCTTGGCTCTCAGAGGCACTAAGGAAAAGAGGGATGTGTGTGTGTCCAGCCACACAGATGTCCCTCTACCTGGGTTTATACAGAGGAATTCATATACTTATGTTGGTATAAATGTGCTTCTATTTTAAGTTCATATGTTGTCACCAGCTAACTGTCAGTCCCTGGAAGGAAAGAGGAAAGACTGACATCCCCTTCTTGGGACATCAGTGCCTGGGAAGGTATGCGTTTCTCGATCAACGCTGGGAACGGATGCTGATAGTTGCCAAAAAGTACCTGTGAGCACTGTTTCTAGACTACTGAGAGCCAGAGATGCCAAGATGCTCCCCTGCACTCCAGAAAGCACACAGCAGCCAGACAGGGGAGGCAGGCAAGGCCTTGCAGAGACTGTGCAGCCCTGCAGGCATGGGATCAGCTGCCCTTTTTCCTAGGGAAATGCCTGGCAGGCTTCATGCAAGAGGTTCCCCCAGTAACCAAACACTCACTCAAAGGTTATATTTACACAGCTCATTAGGAAAATTTTTTATACTTTTGACACTCATTAGAGTCGTAATCGTCCACTGAAGCTCCTCTATAACAAGAGATAAACACTCCATTCTAAAGGATGAATAATAATTAGGTACTTCTTGGCACCGTGCTCTTTACAGGTCTAATTTTAGAGCATAATTAATCCTGCTGAAGTTGCATAAGATAAGTGAAATATTTATGCAGCTGTGTTAATTCATGTATTTACTCCTAGAGAGACATTCAGAATTGGACATGGCTTTCCGGGCAGATTATCTTAAGACGCCCCCCAGAGCAACGTCATTTTCTCTGCCCTGTCTTTGCCTCCAGATGGCCTCGGAGGATGAAGCTTTAGAAAGATGAACATTTCCCAACCCTGGCAGGATGACCAGGAAAGCAATGAGGCAGGACGTGAAATATCGACAGGAACCAAGATGCTCTGTAAGTAAGCATCTGCAAGAGGTGGCAACGAAGGCATTTCCTGCGCAGCACCAGGAAGGCGGTTCCCCTGGTACAGACTGGCACTGTCATTGCCAGGGCGATACTTAATAAGCTGTGCTGAACGCAGGAGTTGTGCAGGGACAGTGACGGTGCTGATGGGCAGGAGGCATGCGGGTGAGGAGGAGGACAGTGACGATGGTGGTGAAGATGATGGTGATGATATTGTGATGGTGATGGTGGTGGTGATGGTGGTGACAGTGTTGATGTTGATGGTGGTGGTGGTGGGTGGTGATGGTGGTGATGATGGTGGTGGTGATGGTGGTGGTGGTGGTGGTGATGATGATGGTGGTGATGGTGGTGATTATGGTGGTGATGGTGATGCTGGTGGTGATTATGGTGGTGGTGATGATGATGGTGGTGATGGTGGTGATTATGGTGGTGATGGTGGTGGTGATGGTGGTGATTATGGTGGTGATGGTGGTGATGGTGGTGATTATGGTGGTGGTGGTGGTGATGGTGGTGATTATGGTGGTGGTGGTGGTGATGGTGGTGATTATGGTGATGGTGGTGGTGGTGGTGGTGGTGATGGTGGTGATGATGGTGGTGATGGAGGTGATGGTAGAGATGGTACTGGTGATGGTGATGATGGTGGTGATGGTGGTGATTATGGTGGTGGTGGTGATGGTGGTGATTATGGTTGTGATGGTGATGATTATGGTGGTGATGGTGGTGGTAATGATGGTGGTGATGATGGTGGTGATGGTGGTGATGGTAGTAGTAGTGATGATGGGGGTGATGGTAGAGATGGTAGTGGTGATGGTGGTGATGGTGATGTGGTGATGGTGGTGATGGTGATGGTGGTGGTGGTGGTGGTGGTGGTGGTGATGGTGATGGTGGTGATGGTGGTGGTGGTGGTGGTGATGATGGTGGTGATGCTGATGATGGTAGTAGTGGTGGTGATGGAGGTTATGGTAGAGATGGTACTGGTGATGGTGATGATGGTGGTGATGGTGGTGATTATGGTGGTGGTGGTGGTGGTGGTGATGGTGGTGATGGTGGTGATTATGGAGGTGATGGTAGAGATGGTACTGGTGATGGTGGTGATGGTGGTGATTATGGTGGTGGTGGTGGTGATGGTGATGATGGTGGTGATGGTGGTGATGGTGGTGGTGATGGTGATCACAGTAACACTGACTATTAAGGTGACAGCTTATGGCTATTGAACTCTTTCTATGTTGTAGGAGCTATGCTAAGTTATTTACAGAAATCCTCCCATTTCATTTTCACACAGTTGATAACAGGGACCGATGTCTTCATTCAAAAATGAGCAAACTGAGGCGAAGGTTGACCATCTCTTTTATAGAAGTTTTAATAAATGGGACAAGTACAGATTTGGTTCAAAGAGACACTAAATCACTCCTTCCTAAAGATTTCTATAAATCTCAAGGGTCTAATTAGTCAACTTTGATAGACATCTTACAAAATTAAATGAAGCAAGAGTTTTGCCTAATTGACCGCCTTCCAGAATAAGGCCTCTGGAGAAAGCCATTGCCCTGTGCTACCCAGGGAGCTCACAAGGCCCTCAACACAAAGCTGCAGTGTCCTCCTCTGTACAATGGGAAGAGAAATATATCTGACCTCAGGAGGTTCTTGTGAAGACTAAGGGACGTGTGCAATGTACCAGCTGTGGTGATTGACATGTGCTCCTCCCTAAATGGCCTCGCTGTTGACCATAGATGCCATGAGACTGTCAACCACAGTGGACAGGGCTGGAGTTAGGACTCACTTGACCGACAGCCAGCATATTTAAAATCTTCCCGTCAAATGAAATACGTCCTGACCCCAACCCCTCATCCGTATGTGTGTTCATGTGCTTAACCCTTCATTCATCAATTCCCTGTTCTGTTTGGGGTTCTGGGGTGCTTATTGCTGGGGCCGAGACTCCTGTCTGCTGAACAAGTCACCCTGAGCAGAGGTGTCAGGCATCCCTGCAGTCGATGGAGCAACTGGACCCCAATCCTCAGTGTCCTCCAAGGTCCACGCTCCTTGTCCAAATCTCCTGCCATAAGACTCTACGTCCAATCTCTGGCATTTAGGTGTGGCCACTGGACTTGCTTTGGAAAGGAGGAGATTGGCAGGTGTGAATGTGACAGTGCAGAGAGTTGAAATTTGCAGGTGACATTCAGCATTCCTTCTGAGCCTCCAACATGGCCGAAAAAAGAGCTTCCGCCGGTATCTACCACCGGGTCAGCGTGTGACCCAGAATAAACACGCATGGGGCAGAGGTCACACAGCGGACCCACAGGCCAGGGGCAGAGCCTAGAGCTGCCCCACCCAGCCCAGCCCGAGGCAGGAATCCTCCACTTGACCTGCATCCCCAGGGCCACACACAGGCTTCTCAGAGCCGTAGTTATCCAGGAGAACAGGACCAAGGACTGGGGAAGGTAAGGAGACCCTCCAGGGATCCCGAGGATCAGGGACTGTTGTGCGTGAGGGTAAGACAGACCATTTAGAATGCCGAGGGCAGGGGAGGACAGGGTTGAACTCTGGGAAGAGAGAGGGACAAAAAGACACGAGGAACTCCGCACTCCATTCAGACCACGCCCAGCGCGGCCGAGCCTCTGTCCACTCCATGCCACGATGACTGTAGCGGTTGGTAGGCCTCCTCTCAACTTCAGGCAGCACAGCACACTCTGTAATCAAGTAGAGCCGCCACCTGTCCTTGAAGGGGGCTCCGGCCCTCTGCCCTGAGCCTTCATAGCCCCCTGTTCCTGGGCACACTTCTGGTGCTGACCCTCTCCTGTTGACTTTACTTTTCCTAACTTGGTGTTAGCAATTCAGGAAGAAATCACGGATCCCGTGGCAGGACTCCAAGGCCATGCCTGGCCCATGCGGTGAGATCACCAGGGGGGTGAGCAGGGAGAGCTTCTGCATCAGCCACCACCCCCCCCGCCCCGGCCACGTGTCATAACACCCTGCCTCCTGTGGCCTGCAGCCTGGGAGGGCGGAGCTGCCGCTGCTTTTGCGTGTTAGGCAGTGAAGGGACCAAGTGTAGAGAGAGCCCCCGGGACCAGGCTTTCTCAGGAGCTTGCCTCTTCTCATCCCTCCACGGGACAATACGCAGAGAGCCACATGTTAGTTCACCACGAATCACCCTTGGTCACAAGTGCTGGGTTCTGTAGAGTCTCTTACCCAAACATCACGGGAACCCTTCCTCTGGAATTTGGAAATTGGGACGGAGGCAGCTCGGTTCTATGTGTCTGAGAGCAGCATGCAGTCCCAGCTCTGCTAACACGTGAGGTCACAGGATTCTGTTTTGAAGTGGACATGAGGGGCTGGGCGCTGTGTCGTGTTGGCTACTCCCTTGATCCTGGCCTCGGTCAGCTAGAGGCAAGTAGCAAACAATCATCTCCCAGTCCTGGCCGCTGAGAACACCTGCAGACGTTGCCAAGTGTCCCCCAGAGGACATAAAGGACCCTCTGCACTGAGAAGCACCTCTCTAGGAAGAGGACCTGGGGGTTCCCACTGTCAAGGCCCCCGACGGTCCTGGTGCCGACTTTCCCTAAAGCTATTTGTTCAGCTCCTTGCACATTCACGGAGAGATGCTTGTGCATCCTTAAAGTAATTTCCCCTTTTAAACACAGTTACCTAGAATTGGTCTCTGTTTTAAGCCAGCTGGGTGCACGCACGGTGTGAGAGGCACTTCACAGATACCCCTAGCGAGCAGACCCCTTGCCCCAAGACCCACTGCCATGTTGATCAGAAACCAGTGTCTCAGGTCCCCCGAGCGAGGGGCCCTGCAGGGTCTTACCATCACCCACAAACTGCAGCAGGGCCAGGTCGATCTGCCTCTTCCAGGGCGACCCCTTCTGGAGGGCAATGCCGTAGCCAGTGGTGGCAAAGATGTACCCACTCCCGATGGTCACCAGCTTGCAGCCCTCGTCTCTCCCGGCCTTGTAATTCAAGACCGCGGCGTCGTAGATGAAAGCGTCCAGCTTCCTGAAATGACAAGAGACCAGGCAGTCATGGGGTGGCCGGGACCCTCCCAGAGCCCGCTCCCGAGGCCCGAGCCAGCACCCCACAGGCAGGAGCTGATGACTCACGCTGTTCCATCCCCTCGTCATAAAAGGATCTATTTTTAATGAAGAGATAAAGGCCAGAACCTTCTCTCCCCAACTTACAAGAGGCAGCTAAATAAAGACCCGAGGAGTCTGTGTACCCAGTGAGTAAACAGGCAGGTTGGCAGGTTTTCTAAGTGTTGGTCCTTTGCACCTCCCAACGGGGAGAACGGTGGCCTGTTTAGAAAGGTTGGCACCACAGCACCGTCAGCCACCGAGGACGGGAGACTCGGGCAGCTGCAAGGGATGGAGGCCAAAGAGGAATGGAGTCCTTTCCTCCCTAGATAAATATACTTACTTTTAAGGATGTCACAGAAACTAATTACCACAGAGGAATTTTAAAACTCCAAATAATATAGAAAAGTACTAATAATACAATTAAAATTCTTCCATTAACAAAGTAAATAGGTTGCAAAATTCCAGAATTCATGATTTTATAACTCAAAGATGACCTCTGCTGACATAGTTTTGGGCTGTCTTCCAAGGTTTTTATGCACACACACACACACACACACACACGCACACGCACACACACGCACACACACGCACACACACGCACACCGCACAGGAGTTGGCACACTGTTAATGTAGAGACGACCTAATAGGCAGCTTGGACTCTGGCGGCCTCACTGTGTTAGCTGCAATGACTTGGTGAGGCTGTAATAGGGTGTCCCCTCCTTCCAGAAAACAGTCAGGTGTTGGAGTCCTGATTCCCAGATGTGACCTTACGGAGACAAGATCACTCAGATGTAAGTAGTTAAGAGGAGGAGATACTGGAGTAGGAGGGACCCTGGTCCATGTGACAGATGTCTCTACAAAAAAGAGAAAATCTGGCCATGACAGCTGCAGGAAGAGTGCCCGTGAAGACTAGAGCTCTGTGGCCCGAGCCCAGGAGCCACCAGGGTCCGGGGGAAACTGGAGCAGCTCCTGCCCTCACACCCACCGAGGGGGTGCAGCCCCGCGACACCCCCATCTGGGACTCGCAGCCTCCTGAACTATGAGACGGCAAACCTCTGGTGTGAAAGCATCCGTTTGAGCTACTTTGTTAGGACAGCCCCAGGAAAGGAAGACACAACCCCACAGCGGACAGGAGAACACACACCAGTGAACCCCCTTGGTCCCAGTGTGCCTCTGCTTACAAAGAGGTTGTCCATGGGCCGTAGTGGGCAGACCCTTGTTTTATAGCCCCTAAAATAAGATAATCCCATACAAACTATTCCCTAAATGGTTTTCTTTTCTCATGCCACACAGATAAGTGTCTATCCAGGTCCACAAATAGCACTTGTTTTTTTATTCTTTTTAAACATATTTCTCTCTGTGGCCCATATGCAATCAAGTGCTCAATGATCTTGACATTTGTTTCACTTTAAAGTTACCATAGAGCTCAACATTGAGAGCATCCCTTTACTTCAAAAGTCCTGCTGACCCAGGCCGGGGCTGGTTCAGTGGCAGAGCGTTGCCCAGCATGTGGGAGGCACTGGTCGGAGCCTCAGCACCACAGGTAAATAAATAAATAACGGCCCATCCACAGTTAAGAGATGTCTAAATAAAGCCTTGCCTTCCTCACGCCCAGCCTTCCTGACAGCAGACCTCACACGACCTTGTCAGAGGCAGGGCGGCACCTCCACCTGGACCCCTGGGAGGGACCATGGGTTCAATGTCCATGCATTAAGGCTGCTCAGCAAGGCTGGGCGACACCCCAGAACACACAGCCGGATGTCTCCACCCCAGAGTAGGCAGGAAAGCGGAATCAGAGCTGCCCAGCCTCCGACACACTCTCCATCTCTCGACTTTTTCTCTTTAACAAGAAACCGTAAGACAGGGAAGCAAAGAAGGAGCAGAGGTCTGGGAAAGGGGGGGAGGCTGCGCTTTCAGGGACCCCCTGTGGGAAGGCCGGCAGCCTCCTGCTTCCTCTGCACCTCTCTTGTCTTTGTAACGGTCACAGGTCGGGCAAAACCACAGGGAAGCCACCTTTCCAGACACCAGCCACAGGGAAACCGTGGACCGTGGGACGGAGAGCGGCTCAAGACAGCGTCAGTCTGAGCCGATGGCGGTCGGGCTGTGGCAGGAGCCTCCCGTGGTCAGTAGGAAGGGTCTGAGTCCCAGGCCAGGCTTGGGGGACGGCCTGGCTGGTTCCTCGTCCGCGAGATGAGGTGGCCCTGGGGGTCCTGCTGAGATACGTGTCCAGTGAAGGCGCTCTATGATTCTGAAAGCCAAGAGTCACCTTTAGCGGCCATCAGTAGACACTCTGGGTCACACATGTGTCCTGAGGACCTCAGGTCAAGGGTGGTATCTGACCTGATGAGGCTAAGGTGCTTGTGACGTCGAGACCTCACACACCGAGCTGCCATGGAGATGCCGAGAACCCTGGTTCATGAAGACTTCCAAGTCCCAGCAAACCCTCTTGTCTCGAGTCCTCAAAAACTCAGCGTCAACACACACACGCACGCACCACACACCACACGCGCGTGTGCAGGGAACACTCAGACACGGAGGTCAGGGGTATTCGCGGGATGACCTCTCCCCGCCTTGCTGACTGCCCCACACTGGGGAGGCACAGCTGAGACCCAAAGACCAACCTGGCAACCCTAGGGGGAGTCTAACGGCAGTTTCAGCTGGTATTTTTAGGGGCAGAAACAGATTTCTGCACCTCAGAACCACAGTTCATGAGGAATCTTATTCTGCTGAGCCATAGAGTCAGATGAGCAGAAAGAAAAAAAAATAGATTTTCTTCAGGAACAAAAATTTGCAAAAGCATGTCCCTGTCAACTCAGAGGCAGACAATGAACTGTAAAAGTCAAGTCGATTTTGACCAAGGCCACTGCACATCGGGTACCTGGGCTGACCTGGTGGACGTCCTGTCAGCCTGTGGCCCCAGAGAGCCACCGAGGGGCCTGCTTTGTGGCCTGACCCCTGGGGCCATGTCAGACCTAAGGTAGGTTCACCATGAGGCTGCAGGGTCCTGTGAGCTAGGTGTCACTTTTCACCCATGATTCTAGAGAGCTGGGGTCTAGACCCAGTGGCCTGAGATACTTGTATGTGTAAAACAGCCCTCTGACGGAGAAGGCCACTGTCCACAGGTACTTTCCAAAGGAGTGCACGTGTCCTCCTCCTGAGGCCTCAACCCACCCACTAGGCAGATAGAATCATTTTCCTAGTTGTCCTATGAGCAAAGTTCTCAGTCGGCTTGGAGTTCATTAGGGACATTTCCAAACTGCCCAACAAAGCCCTCCTGGACAGCACTGGCCCTTGGAGCCTGAGCCATTGATGGGAATGCTCGGCATCTCCACTCCCCAAAGTGGAAAATGAGCCTTTGAAATGTGGTGAGTGTTGCCGAGAAACTGAGTTTTTAATTTTGCTGAATTTCACTCATTTGGATTCCGGCAGAAATGGCCAGGTACGGCCGGGGCCACAGCAGGCAGGGGCAGCAGGGGAGCAGGACTCTAGGTCCCCCTCCTTGTTTTTGACCCAAAAGGTTTACTTTTGATCTGTTTCCAGTTGGGAAAAAAATTGTTCCTGTTGTTAAAAAGGCAAAATTGAAAATTGCTGACGCACTAGAAAGAGCGCTTTGTAAGGAGAGACTTTGGTCAAGGCAGCTGCTCGTCTGAGCCGGTTTTCTTTCTGCAAAACAGAGCTGACAATCTCTGCCCTCAGAGGGCTGTAGGCCCTCCAGGTGAGGTTATGTAAGTAAAGTGTGCGGGCCGCGGCAGGACACCGCCAGCGCTGGAAAGGCACACACGTGTCCAATCGAATCGGAGTTCCTGGCAAAGGGCTCACAGATTCACGTATCTGATGTCATCGATCCAGTCCTGAACGCGTCACAGGCATCACATCACTCTGTTTATTCCCTCTAAGTGCACAGGGGGGTGCACTCTCCCACCGTCCGCTCTCCCGATTGTCTGATGGGGAAACCGAGGCACTCAGCATTAAGAGGACTCAACAGCCTCGAAGTATTAAAAGCAGAATTTGGACTTAGCAGGTGCCAAAAGCCACAAAGGTGACCCCTATGACCAGGTCATGTCACCCACAAGACTTGTGGAATAGATGGAGGCAGCCGTGTGGACTGTGCAGGAAGTTCAGATGCAGATGGCAGCTGTCCATCAAGCCAAACTTACGACAGAAGGGGCAGAGCGAGACCAAAGCCGGCGGAGTCGAGGAGTCCCAGTGGCTCAGCTTCTCTTTCCCAACGGACGCACAGCCCTGAGGGTCTGGCGCTACCTTCGCAGTGCCCCTCTGTCCCCAGCCCACCCCACCCCAGGCTCCAGGGGACACTGAGCATGAGTGCTGTACTTTCTTGTTGAAGGCAGAGGGCGGGGCGGGGGTGGGGGGAGGCCACCCGAAACTGAGGCCCAATGTGGACCTAAAGCTGTCGGGGACTTGAGCCGTGGCTGGCAGAGACAGAGTGACATACGGGTGGCAGCGGGGTAACTGGCGGCGGGGCTAAGAGAAACACAGACCAAAGGCCAGCACCGGAGGGACCGGGCCTTCAGAACCGAGCAGCCTGGGAAGGCGGGGGAGCTCGCAGGTGAGGGAGCCCAGTTTCCGTTCTCTGACCGACGTGTCCTGCTTTCTTTAGGGGGGGAGTAAGTCATCTTCGTCTTGCCTTCCCAGGTAAGCGTCCCCTCCCATGGGCAGGAGGAGGCTCAAGGGTCAGGGTCTGCCTGGGATGGGACAGGGCTCCTGCCTGACACCCTGCAGTCAGCACCGCGTCTCTACCGCCACCCCGAGGGCCGACCCTCTTACCCAGCCTCAGTGACACAGAAAACAACCCCTCCTTCCCAACTCAAGGGAAGGGGCATCACTGGAGCCACAGGAATGCCCAGCTGCGTGACACCGGGTCCCCAGCAGACATCACACGGGCTGCGTGGGCGCCATCACCCT